AATAATTTCCTTTACAAATTACTTTAAAGTTGTAAAGATGTTCCAAACTTTTAGGAAAAGATGGAGAAAATGTTTAAATGTCAATGATATGCATGTTCATAATAGAACATAAAGATTTTTTAAAGTGTGTAAGTAAATGTAATAACCAGGAAAACAATAAGGATTACATCATAAGACCTAGGATGTTTAGGTGTTATCTTTCTCTGTACTGTAAAATATGCTTTGTGTAGTCTGCTGCCATTATTAATTAGTTCCTTCTAAATAGATTACCCAGAATAGCTTTAGTTATTGCCACTTTTTAATCAAATTATCAAATTACAGAATTCTCATCATTTTAATTATAGCAGTGTAATGGCAATCCTAGCCAATGTGTGAGAAGAAAAAGTTGTAAGGACTTGGGGGTTGGGGCTGAAACAAAAATCGTTTTGTTTGGAGATGTGATTGTCTATTTAGAAAAACCAAAATAAGCTACAGGCTGTAAGACAAGGAGATGTTTTGCACAGCTCTGAGAGCTGGCAGCTTGGCTGTTAGCATGGGCAAATCTTTACAACGTCTCCACACTCAGATTCCAGGCCCTGCCGAGGGAAACATTCTGATTTGCCCTCAAAATATCTGAAGGCAGTTTTGCACTAAATCAACCAAAAGCTTCAACAAAGCTCAGACAGCTGAAATACAGATCAGATTGATTCAGCCCCACCCTATCTCCCAGGCTGAGAGCTGACATTAGAAAATATGTGCCCTTTTATGGAAGAAAATATATATTCAGAGCAAAGAAAATTATCAGGAATGTATAGGTACCTTATATAATGAAAACCATCATTTTACCAAAAAGACAATTCTAAATGTACATGCACTTAACAAGAAAGCTTCAAAATCATGCAAAAACAGAGATGAAATGAGAAATATACTCTACCATTTTAGTTGGACACTTCAACAGTTATTTCTCAGTAACATAAGTTGGAGACCAAAAATCAGCAAGGCTATAGAAGCACTGAATAATGCCATCAATAAGCTGGACCTAGTAGACATGTCTAGAACATCCAACAGCAGAATACACATTCTTTTCAATTACATGTGAAGCATTCACCATTACAGATCATGTCCTAAGTCATTAATCCTAAAATATTTTAAATAATTGAAACCATGCAAAATTTCTCCCATCTATAGTACAGTTTAACAAGAAACCAATTGCAGCAAGAACAGAGAAGTCTCCAAACACTTGGAAATTAAGCAACACAATTCTAAATAACTCATGGGTCCAAGAAATTTCAAGCATAATATGGAAAATATTTTGAATTATTATTATATATGATGTGTACAAATTAAAATACAACATATATCAAAATTTTTGAGATGCAGAAAAAGCAGTGTGTAGAGGGAAATTAATAGCACGAAATGCTTATGTTAGAAAAGAATAAGGGTCTCACATCAATAATATAAAGTCCTACCTTAAGGAACTAGGAAAAGAAGAGTAAAGCCCAATGTAAATAGGAATGAAATAGTAAGGATAAGACCAGAAACCAGTGAAACAAAAACAGTGGAAGGGGTAAGCAACACAGATTTGACAATTTTGATGGACTAAATTCTTGAAAGACACAAACTACCAAAGCTTACTCAAGAAACAGTAACCTATTACATTTCTTAAAGAAATTAAATTCAGTTAAAAATCTCCCAACAAAGAAAAATCCAGGCTCAGATAATTTCACTGATGATTTCTAGCAAATATTTAAGAAAGAATTAATACCGATTCTATACAAACTCTTCCAGAAAATAGACGACAAATTCTTAACTCATGAAGTCAGTATTACCCTGATTTTTTTTTAAAAAAAGGATTACAAATTGTTTAAAAAACTACAAGTGTTCCTCATGAACATAGATGTACAAGTCCTCAAAACTAGTTAATTTAATCCAGCAATATATAAAAGGGTAATACATGAAGGCAAATTGGAGTTTATCTTGGGAATACAAAGCTGAGGCTGATTCGATATTCAAAATCCAATCACTAATTCATACCTGACCAACTAAAAAATAAAAATCATATGGTCACATCAACAGGCATAGTAAAAGCATTTGTTCAAATTCCATAACATTCATGATTAAAAACCTCAGCAAACTAGGAATAGGAAGTATCTTCCTCAAACTAATAAAGCACATCTGAAAAATGTCTACAGTTAATGTCGTAACGGTCAAAGAGTGAATAGATTCCCCTAAGATTGAGAACAAGTGAAATATATCCACTCTCACCACTCTCTTTCAACACTGTACTGGAAGATTTAGCTGACTGCATAAGGCAAGACAAAGAAATTAAAAAGATACAGATTGGTGGGAATTCCGTGGCAGTCCAGTGGTTAGGACTCCGTGCTGTCACTGCTGAGGGCGAGGGTTCAGTCCCTGGTTGGGGAGCTAAGATCCTGCAAGCCACGTGGCATGACCAAAATAAAAAAGGATACAGATTGGAAAGGAAGAATGACAACTTTATTCAGAGACAGCATGATTGCCTTCACTGAAACTCCTTTTAAAACTTTACCCCAAAAAAAGGCCCTTGGGGAGGGCGGGTGGAGGAAAAATTGGGAGATTGGGATTGACATATATACCATACTATGTATAAAATAGGTAACTAATAAGGACCTACTGTATAGCACAGGGAACTCTACTCAATACTGTGTAATGACCTATATGGCAAAAGACTCTAAAAAAGAGTGGATATATGTATAACTGATTCACTTTGCTATACAGCAGAAACTAACACAACACTGTAAATCAACTGTGCTCCAATAAAAAGAATTTTTAAAGCCACTTAACAAGTCAATTTAGCAAGATAGCAAAATACAATTTTTAACTAATAGTGTTACTTTTTTTAAAAAATTTATTTATTTGGCTGCACTAGGTCTTAGTTGCAGCATACAGGATCTAGTTCCCTGACCAGGGATCAAACCTGGGCCCCTTGCATTGGGAGCGTGGAGTCTTAACCACTGGACCACCAGGGAAGTCCCAACTATTACCTCTTTAATTCAACACTGAATATTGGTGGTCCTAACCAGTGCAATAAGTTTTTTTTAAAGTGTGAAGATTAGAAAGAATGAAAGAAAACTTGTCATTCCTACACAATATGTTTATGTACCTAGAAAACCCAAAAAAATCTACAGAACCTGTTAGAATTATGTGAATTTAGCAGAGTTGCTAGATATTGATAAAATGTCAATATACAAAAGTCAATGGTATTTCCATATATTACAAAAAAATTAGATAATGGAATTAAAGTATTATTGACAATAGCATCAGAAATAAGACTAAAGAAAAGTCTCTATACAGAAAACTACAAAATACTGCTTGATATTAAATAAATGAGATCTATTTTATATTTGAGAATTGGGAGACTCAATATTGTTCTCAAACGTTTCCCAAGTTGATGTATAAATTCAGTGCCATCTCAGAGTCCTAGTAGATGCACTTTTGTCAAAATTAACCAGCTGATTCTGAAATTCATATAAAAGTGCAAAGCGTGAAGCATACCAAAGACAAAGAGGAGGAAAACTGAAGGATACACACTGAATATCAACTTATCCCATGATTAAAATAGTATGGTTTTGTGTAAAGTTGGACAAACAGACCAATGGAACAACGGATCAGAGAGCCCAGAAGCAGACCCACACATGTACCATCATCTGATTTAAGACAAAAAGTGCCACTGCAATGCAATGCTGAAGATTCTTCAATAAATCAGGTAAATTGGATGTCCTACGGGGGGCGGGGTTTGACACGCCCATACCTCGTACCATAAGTTAAAATTATTTCCAGATTAATTGTACACCTAAATGTAAAGGGGGAAAAAATAGACCTTCTAGGGTTACATGGGGGAAATTCTGTAGCATTTGAGAAGGCAGATCAAGTGCCAAAACAGGCAAAGCTAACATTTGGTGACAAGTCCAGGGTGGTCACCGTGGGGGGATAGTGACTGGAAACCAGCATGAGAGAGCCTTGAAGCGTGCTGGAAATGGTGAGGACACAGTATGCATGTATGGGAAAATAAGAGGTAAACCCTAAAGATCTGTGCACTTTATGTAACTTACAAGGATAGAAAATCAAATTCATCAAGAACTTTCACAATGTGCTTTCATTTTCTTGGACTTGTATGTCTGTTCAAGTTTTCACATGTAATATTATGTTAATTTAAAATGCTTTTGGTTAAATATCTATTTAGGTTTTTTTCAATGACAAAAATAGATAAATAGATTGAGTTTTTTCCTGCTCTGCACAGAGTAGGCAATCAACAGGTCCTGAGAGGATGGATCCCTCAAACGGAGGGACACTCACTCATCTGTGATGTCAGCGTCCAGCCTGGGCCTGGAGTGTAACAAGCATGGTTACTGAGTAACGATAATGTAGTGCGCAGCGAGACCTCCCTCCTTCTCTCCCACCCTCCGAGTCAGTGTGCTGCTGGGTGACGTGAAAACCAACACTTGGGGGCCAGATGGGAGCGGGCTAACCTCAAACCCACCCTCTACCAGTTCTGTGACTAGACCAGTGACTTAACCTCTCTGATGGGCATCTTGTCATATGGGAATGATGGCAAAATACCCACCTCACAGAGTGCCGCATGCTCAGTAAATAGACCCTGGACTCTGAGTCCCTGTCCCCCTCCCTGCACCTGACCTACTACCAGAGGGAACGAAGGTTTGTAGCAGGTGAAGTGGGTCTTGTTTGGGCACAGCACCACTGCCCAGCCACCTCTGAGCCTGAAGCAGAAGGAAAAATCGGTAATACTCATCTTTAAAAAAATTTTTTTTAATATTTTCTCTAGAAAAAAAAAAAAAAGCATTCCTAGTGCCTCTGGGTCAGTATGTTGGGAGGGTTTTCCTGTTCCCTGCCCCACCTGCATCTGCCATCTTCCAAGAAAGGAAGGACAGCTGAGTCACTCTTTCAAGCTCTTGTTTACGTTCCCTCTGTCCTTCTCACCACTCTACCCAAGACGTCACACATCCCCTCTCTTTTTCTGTCAGGCATCGGTTTCCCAAGGGTGTTCCCCAGACGGCCTGCTCCCCGTAGTTCTGTGAACCCACGAACGGCCCAAAGGACTGGTCTCCCATGGCTACAAGCACCCCAATATACAGACAGATTGGGCTTCGAGAAGGCTTCCTGGGGCAGTGCAGGTGAGCGAGCAACTCCCCCAGGGGGACCTCTGGGAACGAAGGTAATTCCCTGGAGGGAAGAGGGGTTCAGGGTGAAGTAGAGGTTCTTAGGAGGCTGTATCTAGATGGGCTTGCAGCCTTCCGTGGATCAGGGATTTTTAAAAATGTGTTCAGCTACTCATTATGGGGGAAAGTACATGAGTGGCCAGGACATTTCTGAAAAGGAGAAGTCCTAAGGGGGAAGTTCCCTTAGGACTAAGGGGGAAGTTCCCAGATTTTCAATGTGTTAAAAGTGAACAACGCGGGTAAGAAACAAAATGGTAAAGAAGATAGCGCGTGCAGAGTACTGACTCATTTAATGGTCTCAAACCAAAGAGGAAAGAGGGCCTGTTATTATTACAAATCATAAACTTTACCAAGAGGAGAGAAGGTACAGGATCAGTACCTTGTCCAAAGTCACACAGCTATTAAGCAATTAAACTGGGAGTCCGCCCCAGGTAGCCTGGGTCCAGAGAGAATAGAAAATCCGGAAGCAGCAGGTAGGTATGCCTTAGGGTGCTTTATGTGGTAATGACTGCATTTCAGACCAGTGAGCACGGACGAGAGAGGCAGCCTCTATTTACAGTGGGTGCTGGATAATCACCTTTTGTTGGAAGATCAGACCTCTATTAAAAATGAAGCTTATGGGGCTTACCTGGTGGCGCAGTGGTTGAGAGTCTGCCTGCCGATTCAGGGGACACGATTTCGTGCCCAGGTCTGGGAAGATCCCACATGCCGCGGAGCTTCTGGGCCCGTGGGCCATGGCTGCTGGGCCTGCGTGTTCGGAGCCTGTGCTCCACAACGGGAGGGGCTGTGGCGGTGAGAGGCCCGCATACTGCAAAAAAAAAAAAAAAAATGAAGCTTATGAAGAGTTTCCCCGATTTAGAATATTTGGAATTATTATGTGCTTACGTTAAGAATGTATGCTTTTGAGTCTGACAGTTAAAGGAGGCCACTTATTGGTTGGAAGTGTTTTAAATGCACTTGGACCTATTTCCTTTTTAGTAACAAGGGAACATAACTCGCTCAGAGGTGGCTTGGGAGGCTCAAATAAGACAATGTGTGTAAACAGTAACTTCTCACCTGGCAGCCAAAAAAAGTAACTGATTTTATAACAATGCACTAGAATCATAAAATTTGTTGAATTACATTTAAATTTAATAACGTAGGTGCTTGGACATTTTGGTTTCCATTGAGGTTTTAACTTCATTGATGCTTCATGGGTGGAGTGCAACCAGGAATATTCTCACTGAGCACCAGCCGGTCCCGGAGAAAGGGCCTGTGATCACATTCCCACAACAGGAGGGTTTCCTGCAGCAAATCTCCAATTTCCTCTCTGTTCACCCATATCCGCCTTAGTATACTTGGACGGTGGGGATTGCTTCCCCCAACCCTGTTGTCAATGTTTTTTCTCTCACTTCTTGAAAAGAACCTTAAAACGAGAAAAACAGAAGATTATCTTTTTATAAAAATTGGGAAACATGGATAAGCAAACGAAGAAAATCTAAAAGCCAAATAAAAGTAATAAAACAATAATTTTGTCACCCGGTGGCAACCAGGGTTTAACGATGTGGCATACATCATTTTGTGTCTGTACTTTTCAAATGGGCTCGTCTCACCCACATTGCTTTGTAACAGCCGTTTTTATTGTACAATGTATCACTAGTCCGGTCAGGAAGCATTCTTTCTCCCGGCAACTACTAATTACCCTCCAGGAGCCCATCCTGTTTCTGAAGTGTGATGTGTTTAGCAATATTCCACCAGACTCTTGGGTCGTTTCCAGAATTTCAAGTGAACAAACGCTGAAATGTTTCTCTTTCTGCCTAAGTCTTTTGCATACGTTCAGGCATGAGCTTTGACGTCAGAGAATTTTTGCCCTGACCACCCTTCCAAAAGCAACTCGAAACCCTCCTGGTCTCCTCTCTAGAGCGCCTTCCGGCTCGCTGTGTGCAACATCTCTCCAAACTAAACTGCACAGGGGAGAGGCCAGACCGTGTCCGAGCCAGGACGGCGGCACTTCAGAGGCTTCCCCTGCGTGGCTGACCAGGGTCACCGAGAACTCGGGTCCCCAGGCCTCCACCGTCGCGAAGGCCTCTCCGCCGCGCGCAGCTGCGCCCCAGGGTCAGGCGGGGGTGGGATCACCGGGGGCCTCCGGCTGGAGCTGCGGGGGCACGGGAAGGGCGGGGGTGTCTGCCCCCTGGGCTACGACCCCAGCCGGGCTTTGTCTCCGCAGAGCTCCAGGGCGGTGGCGTGGGGTTAATCCAGGGTCACAGCTTCCTCCTGCTTCAGGGGCGGGGGTCGTGGCGCCCTCTCCTCCACCCCAGCCCAGGACCCCCAGGACCCCGGCTCTGCTCCTTCTGGGGCCTGAGGACGCGCAGAACCAGGCTGGATGGCGCCTCCGACGCCCCGCCCTCGCCCCCCAACCTGTCGGCTCCCGTGCAGCCCCCCGAATGCCATGGACCCCCGAGAACCTCTCGGCTCCCCAAGAACCACCGGAATGCCCCGAACCCAGGTGGGCGGAACCGCAGGCCCCGGGACTTAGGGGGCGCAGGGCACGGGCGGGGGTCATCGGGCGGGGCCCTTGCAGGGATTGGCGGAGGCCTGGATACTCTGTATCAACCGCGCCTTCCCGCCGCCTCCCCGGACGTGCGGGCGGAGCACGTGCGCGCCGAACGTGGAAGCGGCCCCGGGCGCCTGGCTGGGGTGTGTTGGTGGCGTGCGGATGAAGGTGAGTGAACGAGGGGCTCGTCCGGGCGACGGTGACTGAGTCCGGCGTCCGGGGCCGGCCGCCGGGGAGGCTTCTCGGGCCCCGCGGGGAGAAGGGCGCCGGGAGAGGTCCGGCGGCGCAGGGCCACGGCCAGACGGAGGTGTACGGGCAGGACGCAGGGCATAGCCGCCTGCCCCCCGCCCCCTCTGTCCCCGCCGGGCCGGGTCCCCTCAGTGTTCGGGGTGCCCCCCGAACCCACTTCCTTCCCGAACTCCGGGACCCTCTCCATGAGCTCGGCCCTTGGCCTCCTTCCCGCCCTTCCTGGAGCAGCGTGGGGCGGGGCTGTCGGCGCTGGGGACACCCGGGTCGCTCGAAGGGTGCGGGGTCGCGGGCCTCCTGCCAGTCGCGACGGGAAGAAACGTGGGGCCCCGAGGCAGGAGCCCGTGACAAGGCGCTGAGGCTCGGAAGCGGCGGCGAGAGCGCGTCCCCTGGTGGGCGCCCTGGAAGCCCTGCCGGGAGGAAAGAGCTAGAAGCAGGCCAGACCCTCCGCCGGGAGCGTGGCAGTTCTCCGCAGGTTGTCTCAACCTTTGCGGACAGCGGTTTGGCAGCATCGACTGAAAACGCGCCCTTACCCTCGCCTCCAGGAGCCTGTTCCACAGAAGTGAGGTAGTTGTGGACACAGGTCTGCACGTGCTGTTTGAAAAAGCGATCGCCAGCCGCCTCAGCGGCCGCGGCTGGCAAGCTGCCGGCGCCCGTTATGGCCGCGCCTCGCACGGGTGCTTTGCAGGACCCGGCGCAGACCGGGAGTCATGCCTGCGGTGCTGGCCCGACTGAGTATCGCCATAAAAAAGACTCCCTCTGCTGTTAAAACTTGGTGTCTGTTTGCATAGTTAGACGGTAATTTTCTAGAACACTGCAAAGCCTTCGGTCCAGCTTGCCGTGGCTCACCTGTTTGTGTCGGGGTGGGAGGGCGGCAGAGCGGGCTTTTGGGGTGCAACGGGCCGCACGGAAGCCAGTCTGGCCAGGCCCCCGCCCTCGGGCCTTTGCAGGTTACCTCAGCTCTCAGCCTGTGCCCTCACCGGGAAGAGCGGGAAGCTTGGTGCCTGTCCCGCCCGCCGCCTGCTGCACACGGAGGGGTGTCGCTCCCGGACTTCGCTTTGCACGTGTGAGATCCCCCAGCCAGTAAACCACTGAGGTCTCCGCGGCGGTCGCTGACTCCAGGCTCGCTCTTTGGTCTTGAGGCTGGGCAGGCCCAGGGCTTGCAGGCCTGCGGAGTGCAGCCCAGCGGTTTGTTTACAAAGCGTTTGCTTTTCTATCTCCGTGTGAATTGCCTTCCTCCCTTTTGAGGTCGCGAATTACCCTCTCCCACGGGCTCTCTGGTCTTTAGACGAGGATGGTATTTAGGGTGAGGGCCTGGGCCTGGGCCACCGCTGGAGGAAATCAGGAGGGATGTGTTTGCGCATCATGTGTTGCGTCAGGTGTGGTTCCAGCGTGTAGGCCCGGCTGCAGACTGCGCAGGTGTACACCTTGCTTCACGGTGTGCGTGGACGGGGGCGTCTCCAGCGAGGCTGTGTCCGAGCGCGCCCGGTGACAGCTGCGGCCCTGGCAGGGTTTACCTTTGTTGCGCCGCGGCCCGTGGGACTGCAGGTTCGAGCTGTGTGGAGGTGTTCTCACATCCTGACAGTGCACACCTGGGTGTCCCGGTGTGGATGCAGGCGTGCGGCTGGAGTGAGAGGGCTGCGGGAAGGACTTCTCACGGAATTTACACCCCTGGGCTTGGTCCCTGAGTGGATACACGTGTGCTGGGCCAGGTAGCAGCTCCTGACGAAGGGCTGCAACAGCATGGGCACTTGTGGGGCTTGGTCTCGGTGTGTGACTTGGAGTGCACCCCCATCTCTGCCTTCGAGTAGAACGTCGGGGAGCACATCCGGCTGTCTCTGACGGTCGTCGTCATCGTCAGGGGAGAGAACAGAGGGAGCCCTGGTTCCAGCATCCGCTTCTTTTCTCGGCCCCAGGGGTTCTTAGTGGCCACGGTGCCACCTCAATACCCACCACCACCTCCTTCCTCTGTGAGGGTCAATGCTGTCTTCTCAGAGAGGTCAGGGACCACCTGCAGGGCTTGTGAGCGGGGCAAGAGCTGAGACACTCACAGGAGCTGAAGCTCGGGAGGTCTGAGCTGACGAGGCTTTTGTCGCAGGGATCCTGAGAGGGACGTGATGACCAAACCGGGAGCCCTTGATTGACCCCCTTCTCTCCTCCACCTCTGAGAACAGAAGACTCCAGCAGTCCGCAGTCCTGTCCACGGCACGGGTACCACCGTGATATTCTGGGTAACGGACGCCTGGCTCTGTGGGGTCAGCTGCTCTGACTTGGACTCTGTCCACGCTGATGCGCGAGGGCAGGCGCGCCGAGGCCGCACAGCCAGCGAGGTGGGGCAGGGGGCGGAGCCAGCCCTCATAACCTTTTCCGGGGACAGCTGACCCCGCCCTTGTTGATGCACATGCGTTCTCGCCCTGCTCTGAGGCCCAGGCCCCCCAGGCTTCGCAGGGCCGCAGCCACCACACTTCCGGTCCCCGGGGGCAGCCCCCCAGCCCTCCCCCCAGTGTTCCTTTGACCCAACCCCCTGAAGACGGCGGAGCATCACGAGGACCTCTGCCTCACTGTCACCAGCAGCACCGTCCAGCTGGAGCACCTGGCCAGCTCGTGGAGACCTGTGCTGCGTCCGCCAGGTAGAGGGGAAAGCCGTTCTGGTCCCCTCTTTCTGCAGCTCCTCTCGGTGGGAAAAGTCCTCTTCTTCCTTGACAGGCCACGGCTCCATCTCCTTGGCCTCAGGCACGGCCTTCCCCCACAGGAATCCATCCTTATTCTCAGCCTCTCTCAGAAGGAACGTCAGCCCTCCTGAATGGCTGTGGAGTACTGAGCTGGTAGGGAAATCCGGCAGCCTCCCCGCCCAAGCATAGCTTTTAACATTGGGGTTGGTGCTCAGGGGAGGGGTTTGCTGTGACCTCATAGAGACTTTTCCAGCGTGGGCATTTTCTCCCTCCTCACCCTCGTAATCCTCCAAGCTCGGGCTGATGGAGGACTAGAGGCTGGCACTCCCAGACGTCAGAGAGGAGGGAGCCCTAAATGCAAGCAGCCTCCTGTTCTGTTCTTGCTGTGCCCGTCCCTGGGAGCCGCTTTCTTCCCCTCATGATCTCCAGTCACTTCCTACCTAATGCTGGAAGGACATGGGGGCAGTTAGACCTCCTTTATTCTTAAAGGGGCAAGGGCTGAGATGTGGTCCCCAAGGGCTGGAGATCCCCAAATTGGTCAAAGGTGGCTTAGAAGTGTGGGTGACGGTTCTCCTTGGAGCTCCTCCCCTTCTCTGGCAGCCGAGGCCCTGTGCTAAGTGTCCCCGTCCCCAGCCTGAGGAGCTGCGGGTTCTTTGTGAAACCCCACAACCGGGGGGGCTGCAGAGAAGGGAGGGTTCGGGGCAAATGCAAGGACTGGACTTACCTCCTTAGGTGCCACAGTCAGTTGCTGGACAAGGATTTATATATAAATATATATAAATATGTACATACCCACTCGTCACGGCCATCTTTGTTGTAACCATTTCTGTGTTTATAAATACATTATTTCTGGGGAGAAAAAAAGGTGATGGTTTCCAGCATTTTGGAGAGTTACTCAGTTTTCTTGGGTCTCTCCCAAGCATACGTTTTATTAAACTTTTGTGTGACTTTCTCCTGTTAATCTGTCTCATGTCAGTTTAAATCTTAGACCAGCCAGAAGAACCTAGAGGCATAGAGGGAAATTCCTCCCTCCACAACATCAGCGAAGCTTTCAGATTCTCCTCCTTAGTTCTCCAAGGTCTTACCTGCAAAAGTTCTTCTCCCACTACCAGAACCCTGGGTCTCCCTCTGTCTTCCCCTGCAGTTCCCCTTCATCTCTTTTCTCACAAGCAGCTCTCCGTGAAACCAAGTCCCCCTAAAACCGAGCTCCCCTGCCATGTTGATGACAAGCCTCTCTGTCCAAAACTTTACTCCCTTTCTTGTTCCCTCTGACCTAATCCTTTGCTCACTGAGCACTCACCCCCCAGAGTCAGATGAGGTCTCATCATCAACATACAAAGTCGTGGTTGTTTTTCTCCAGGGCAAGATGAGCTCACGGACGGCTAAGCCATGGATCTCCAGAGAATGGCAAACCAGAGACATCCTGAGCCCCGAAGCTACGACTAAGAACTGTCACAAGGGGATTTCCTTGGTAGTCCAGTGGTTAAGACTCCACACTCCCAGTGCAGGGGGCTCAGGTTCGATCCTTGGTTAGGGAACTAGAGCCCGCAGGCCGCAACTAAGGATCCCACAGGCCGCAACGAAGATCCCGTGTGCTGCAACTAAGATCCAGTGCAGCTAAATAAAAAATATTTTTTAAAAAATGTGTCACAAGATGATAATTAACCCCAACATCTTTGTTCTTCCCCTTTAAAAACGGTCAAGTTGGAGTGGATCCGAGGCTTGTCGCCCACTCTCTTGCTTGGTGCCATAAGCCCTTACTTTGCTGCAAACTCCCGCTGCAGGAGTTGGGCTTTCTGTGCCACAGACATACGAGCCCACTGCTGGGTCACGTCAACTCCACTCAACAAAACAAAGCCCTCTGTGGCTGGCCTTCCTCATGCCCTTGCTTCAAAGACAGCTGCTCTGGGATTATCAGCGTTTGGGGGGTCGTGTGCACCAAGAGAAGGTTCTCGCCCTTCTGTCCCCAAACAATTGATCAAAGATTTCACCGGGCAGATCCTTTGCGGGCAGAGTGAGCGAAGTGGGGTAAAGGTGCTAAGGGTCAGGAAGAGACTCTGCTTAAAAGAAAGCAAAGCACGACATCTGCCAAAGGGAACTGCCCAGTCTGTCCTCTTGGTCTCTGGCCTATCAGACGTGCTCCATGCCCTCGGATTATGACATGAGAAAAGCGTGCCATCTCCTAGTCAAAAGCCACTGACCCAGAAGTGTTGAACCCAACTTCGTGTGCCTGACGCACAATGAGGCCAAACAAACGGAAACACCCGCGTTTGGAGCAGAGAGAGTTCTATTAACCTTAAGCAGCTTCTGTCAGGAAAGAGCTCTCTACAGCGGCCCCCCTGTCCTACCACCACAGCAAAGCTATATTTCAATGAAGCCAAGCACATCTTCCAAATGTTTTGATCACATAATACTTTGCCTAACCTGTTGGTTCTTTCCTTAGATTAAAGAAATATAAATAAATAATTAACAGATGACTGGACCTTTTCCCCAGCTTGGCCTTCAGTAACCTCACGAGCAAACTGAGCAGGATAGCATCTAAAGAAAGGTCACAAGGAGTCCACACGCCTGCACACAGTGGGGCGTGGGATGACTCGGACCCCCTACCTCAGTGATTAACTGAGATCACTTCACCTTTTTTGTGGCTGAGCAAACTCTTTGGAGTTGGTTTTGGATGTGAGTTTGCCTTCTCCCTAGACTGCCGGCTTTCTTATTAAAGCAACTTTTCTGTTCCGACCAGCACTTGCCTCTGGAATATTGACAAGCTGCCAGACCTGGGCTGTGCACCAGTCCAGAAGATGGGGGATGCAGGTTTGTCTCAGGTCCATCTTGCTGGCTAGCCAGGTGCAAGGTCTTTAAAGGCAAAAAGGGTAAATGAGAGGGGGTCTTGGTGATTTCAGCTTCCTGATGAGACCTCAGTTGCAGGCTTCCCGGCGCCATCCTATGACTCGATGTGTCATTGGTGATTGTGATTGATCTTCATGTCCCTGAAAAGCAAACTAGAAAATCATGGTCTTGTCATCCTTTAACCTGTTTCTAGGAGAGAATAAAGGCCACGGTTGAGGCATTTTATTATTTACTTAGAGCCTATGTGATGGGTTAACAATTTTAATTCCTGGTTGGCCCCTGGTGTTTCCTCTGACACCATCTGGGCCTGCTTTTCCTTCGTTTCTGCATTCCCTATCTTCCCTAATTAGTAACTACATGTGTCCGCTCTTCAGAACTCAGGAAAGGCCTAGGAGACTAAAGCCTTTCTCTGCAAACAAGAA